GAGAGAGAGAGAGAGAAAGAGAGAGAGAGAGAGAGATGAGGGGGGTGTACTGCGCATCGTAACGATCATCAATAAAAAATGGATATATTATATAGAATTGGTGGTTATGATAATTTAAAGATGTACCTAAATTGTACCAAGTTTGTTTTTTGACTACTGGCTGTACAGTTCTAGGAGCTGTTCACCTGTAACCGAAAAGAACGCACAGCAGTCTGTTGCGATCGGCAGACGTTGTTTTGGGCTTGGCTTATGTTTTTTGGTTTAATTTTGTTAAGTTTTTGGTTGTATTTGGGGGAAGTTGGCAGGGTTGTTGTTTTGTTTGGGTTTTTTTGGGGGGAGGTTTAAGGGGATTGGCGGTTTTGCTTGTTGTCTGTCAACCCAGAGAGTTGTTACTGTTTACCTGGTTGAGAGGCCAGTTTGTGCATCTCGGTCATGCCGTTGACGTCCCTGTCCCTGACCCCGGGGTCATCGTCCTCCGCCTCGGCCTCCGCCTCTTCGTCCTCCGTCACCGTGGGCAGCTGGGGCTTCTGGGCGAGGGCCGCCTCCCGGGCGCTAGAACAACGGTGGAGGGGTGGGGGAGGCTGTTAGTTTACTCGTTTTGGCTGGTCGGTTGGTGGGTGTTCTGGTGTGGTTTGCCCCTTCTTTCCTGTAAAACATCTATCGTCCTTATCTCTCCTCCGTTTTTTTGTTGTTGTTTTTTTGGTGTTTGTAACCCTGCTCTTATAACACCTCAATTCTTTGGCACTTACCGGTACATGGCCTTATTGTATTGCAAGTGCCGTAAAATTGTATTAAACTACTCAACTCTTGTTAAGGACGCCTCAGTGCTGATGGCTTTGTGCAATGTTGGGGGGGGGCATCATTTTGTCGAGTGTCTATGGGATGTTGTTTTTTTCTGAGTAGCTAGCTTTCTGTGTATCCCAGTGACCTTTTTTGGCCCTGAATTGAAAGGCAGTGCCGAAGCACCTCCCCCCCCCCCCTAATTGTCTAAATGTTTGTCGATGGGGGAGTTTTTAAAAATCACCTGTTTTAAAACGGTTTTTCTTTCACGGATTTCTCAGGGCTTTGGGGTGATGTTGGCTGGGTTTTATCCTTATCAAATGTGAAAATGTAGGTTCTCTTTTCGACAGGACTAGTTGACTAAATGTGTTGTCCCAACGTGCATGTGTCCGATCTGATACAAAGCAAATCTTTTTAGAAACACATGTCTTTATTAAGCCTTCACAGGTGTTCAGAGAGCGCTAATAGTTAGTTTATTATTAGTATTAGTTTACTCCTTTTAGCTGGTTGGTTGGTGGGTGCTCTGATGTGCTCTAATAGTTCTTTACTATCGCTTTGATTGATTATGTGTAGCCTTTTG